GGGGTTTTCTTGGCAAAGATACTGGAGTGGTTTGCCATTGCCTTCTCCAGCTCATTTTACAGCTGAGGAAACTGAGGCAAATAGGGTGAAGTGACTTGCCTAGGGTCACCCAGCTGTCTGAGGCTGTGTTTGAACTTAGAAAAAGGAGTCTTACTGACTCCAAGCCCAGCGTGCTATTTGATGCAGCTCCACCTAGCTACCTGTAGCAGCACATAGTAAGTGCTTAATAAATGGTTGGTTGTTTTGACTAACCTCTAACTGAAATTTAGCATTTCCTTCCATTATAAATGTAGGTCACAAAATACTGTTCTGAGAAGGGGTCCGTAGGCTTCAGCAGACTGCCAGAGTGGTCCCCAACACCAAAAAACTTAGGAAGTCCCCTAGTCTAAGGATAAGGGAAAGTGATCTTATGTAGGAGAACCCTGTGTGCAGCTCTTAATGAGTGTTCATTGAAGCTAGATCATGCAGTGGCTAATGAATTGGACCAAGTTCAGAATCCTACTTCAGACTGTGCAAGCCTGGGCAAGTGGCTTAATCTTTTTCCATGAACTCATCTGCAAAATAGGGATGATAACAGCCCCTACCTCACAGGGTTGTTCCAAGGATCTAATGAGGTTGCATATGCAAAGTGCATTGCAAACCTTGAAAGGAGTATATAAATAATGTTCTTGTTACTGAATAAATGAGTCTCTGTTCTCCCCCAGGTTCTTGGGAGGATGAAACGGGAAGGTATTGAATCTGAGAGAGCTTTGTAAACTGTCAATCTCTCGATGCTTGTGAAAGATGGGCATCATTAGCTTTCTCTGATGTGGAGAGAGCAGGAAGGAGGACCATGCTTAGGGAAGGTGATGGCCAGTGGGCAGGACAGTCCTGGAGCCAGCTGCTGGCCAGCTGCTGCTGAGTCCTACCTGGTGACTGGCCTGACTAGGGGGAACCCTCAGGATAGGGCAGCCTCCCCAACCCAGGCAATTCAGAGACCTCCAACTTTCCTGCCTCCTACTCTGAATTAAGGAGGAAGCCCTGTGTTACTGTCATCAGACAGGTTCAGGAACTCCCCGGTCATTGGCACTCTGGGCGAAAAAGGAAATTTATTCTCCTGGGCTCCTATCCCCGTCTATCCCCCTAGGCCTTCATCTTCTTTCTCTCCCTCCCTCCTTATCAAAACTACCTACCATGTCAGTCTTTATTTCCATCACCTTCATTGCCCAACATATAAGGGCTGGGCCTGCCCTTGTAACAAAGATTTTAAAAGAAATGATGCTTGTCAAGGTGGGAGCAGTTCAGAAAAACCAACTGAACGTGGCAATCCAGTCTTAATCATATATGCAATATTCTACATCCATGCCCCCACCCTCCCATGAAAGGAGAGAGGTGCATGTTCTTACTTTTTTTTTTTTGGTCAAAACTTGGTTATTTGGCTTTCCATTTGCATTGTTATAATCACCGTGTATATTGTTTTCCTTGTTCTTTCTTCTTTGCTCTGTGTCAATTCATATCCATCCCCCCCCCCAATACCCTAATTCCCTCTCTTCCTCATTTCTCATAGTGCAGAAATAATGTTCCATTACTTTCTTGTACCACTCCAGTCTTATTTCCTGTAACGGACCCTTCACATACTGCCTCTTCTCTTTAAATTGATCCCTAGCCCTTTGTCTTTGCCCTGGCCGTGCCCCATGCCTGGGATGACATCCTAGAACAGTGACTCCCTTCAAAGCAGAGCTCAGCTGCCATCTCCTCCATGGAGGCTTTTCTGATTCCACACTCCCTTGACCCCCTCTTGTTAGTGTCCTTTCTGTCCCTTTGGAAATTACTTCTATTACTTTGTATACATTTACTTGTGTTAAAACTACAGCCTTCTGGGAGAAGGCACCTCTGGGAAGGTCTCAGCCCCTGGCATGCAGGATAAGTGCTTAATGAAGAAGAGTGAGATTACATGGAAAGAATTTGATAAACTCCTTCACGCTGAGGTGCAAATGACTGATAAGGGCAAAGTTTCCCAGAGGTATTAGCATTTTAACTCAGGCTAGACTCGAGGCCTTAAGCCCAAATGTAGACTTACACAGTCTGGGGGGATGTTTCTGTGTGAGCCAGCCATGTGTCTTCATGTTCCCTGGCTCTTTCTCTCCCTTCTGCCACCCTTCTGTCTTTCCTCCCACCCTTGACTGCACACTGACACCCATGGCCTTACTGGCAGGAAGAATTCTAGACTCTGGCTCTTGTCTTCCATTCGGCGGACCATTGTGGTTTCCAGTCTGACCTCATGGGAGAGCTCCAGTAGACTGGGCGCTATTCAAGAGCCTTTCTCTATATCTCCAGTGCTTAGCACAGTGCCTGGCCCACAGGAGGAGCTTAATAAATGCTAATTGACTGACTGAGGAGTTGTAAGGAAAGTACTTGTCCTGGGACTGGGCCATTGGACCAGGAGAATGTTCATTGGGAGGGAGGGAGGGAACTTGGGCTAAAGGTAGGACAGACCCTAGAGAAGAAAGGATGCAGGGGACTGTCCCATTTGCCTTAGCCAGTACTGCAATCCTAGAAAATATAGAAGTGTGTGTGTGTGTGTGTATGTCAGAGAGAGAGAGAATGGGGGGGGGGGGAGAAGAAGAAGAGAGAGAAAAAAAAAACATGTGTGTGATAGATACACAGAGAGAATATGTGAGAGAGAGAAAGGGAGAGGAAGAGAGACAGAGAGAATGTGTGTCTGTGTGTCTGTAAGAGAGAGAAACAGAGAATGTGTGTGTGTGTGTGAGAGAGAGAATAAATGTATGTGTGAGAGAGAGAGAAACAGAATGTGTGAGAGAGAGAGAATGTTTGTGTGTGTGTGAGAGAGAATGTGGGGGGGAGAGAAGAAGGAGAGAGAAAGAACAATATGTGTGTGATAGATACAGAGAGAGAGAATATGTGAGAGAGAGAGAGAAAAGAGAAAGGGAGAGGAAGAGAGACAGAGAAAGAATGTGTGTCTATAAGAGAGAGAAACAGAGAATGTGTGTGTGAGAGAGAGAATAAATGTGTATGTGAGAGAAAGAGAAACAGAATATGTGAGAGAGAGAGAATATGTGTGTGTGAGAGAGAACATGTTTGTGTGTGTGTGTGAAAGAGAGAATGTGTGTGTGTGTGAGAGAGAGAGAGAATGTATGTGCGTGTGTGTGTGTGTGTGTGCTTGCTTGTAGCTGAGATGTCTTGGTATATTCATGGCTGTGAAGCAGGGTGCTATCTGTGAGCCTCTCATCAGAGAGGCAGGCACTTCCTACTTCTAAAACCCTCCCCCCTCCTCACCCCAGCCATACTATTTGGGTTGTTTCCTCTGCTGAGCCTATGTCTGCTTGACCGGGAGAAAGGATGGGGTCTTAGTCCGTTGCAGTGCCCCTGCTGATGGCTGACCCTCTCTAAGTCCTTGACCTCAGGAGACAACAGGATCCTTCAGACAAGTGACCCACTGCCAGGTAGACAGGATGTTCCTGGGATGTATTGGGATTTGGAAAATCTGAGCAGATGCCACTTGGAGGCAGAGCCCTCGAGAGCCTCAGTAGGACCCGGTAATTAGAGATGGGATGGACAGCAGCGTAGGCTAGGTTTGGCCCACAGGGCAGCAGGGCGGGGATGAGAGATTGTCTCTACTTATCCCTTCACCCTTTCCCTCACTCTGCCCTTTGGCCGCCTGCTAGAGGTGGGTTCACTCAGTTGGCCAAGAGAGTATTTAAGTACTTAGGGAAAAGGTTCTGGTGAAAGCAGAGAGTGGCCTGGGAGCAGCAGAGTAGAGAGGAGCCCCAGGCTGGCGGCGTCCTGTACGCTGGTGGGCTCTGGGGCTAGATGGAGCGAAGGGGCGCTGGCAGTGTCGAGCTGAGGAGAAAGGATCTTGTGGTCAGGGGCTTCAAGCTGGGTACAGAGAGGGGCTGCCTTGAACGTATCAGACTACAATCAGAGGCTCCAAGCTTAGTGCAGGGGGGCCAGGTGATGTGCCTTGGGCTAGGTGGGGAGGGCACATTTGGGAAATTTAAGTGGGATGGAGAAGATCTGTCAAGGATGTCAGACTAGACAGCAAAGGGTTAGGGGCCAAGGCCGATGTCTTTGGATCGATAGTAAGGGGCACATTTGGGGGCTCTGTGCTCACCTGAGTTTGCAAGATTGAGGGCTGTGACCTCAAAAGTGGGCCCACCTTTGGGATCTCAGTGCAGAGGGGATAGCTGAGGGTGTCAGACTGCACATGAAAGACAGGGTTGGGGCTTCAGGATGAGCATGAGGCAAGTTTAGAGGTTCTGAGGTTGGTACAAACGGGAAAAAATCAGGTTTCAGACTGGGCATAAGGGGCAGGGTTAGGGGATTCTGGGCTTGGTACGAGGGTCAGCTCATAACTTTGTACCAGGCATAGGAGAAATTGGGGGCTTTGAGCTGAGTCAAGGGGGACAGGTGGGGGGTTTCATGCCAAACATGAAGGGCAGGATTGGGGGTTCCAAGCTTTGTGCAAGGGGGAACAGGTCAGAGTTTGAGGGCTGGGCATAGAAGACCTTGGGGGCTTTGAGCTTGGTCAAGGGGGACAGGTTGGAGTTTTCATGTTAAGCATGAAGGGCACGTTTGAGGGTTCCGAGTTTGGTTCAAGGGGGAACGGGTCAGAGTTCTAGGGCTGGGTATAGAAGACGTTGGGGGCTTTAAGCTTGGTCAAGGGAGAGTTTTCATGTATAGCATGAGGAGGAGGTTTGAGGGTTCCAAGCTTTGTGCAAGGGGGAACAGGTCAGAGTTTTGGGGATGAGCACTTGGAGGCTCTGAGCTTGGTGTGAGGGGGAGAGGTGGGAGATTTCAGGCTGGGCATCTCAAGCTGGGTTAAGGGGAGATAGGTCAGAAGATTCAGGCTGAGCACAAAGGAGGGAGGCCCAGGGGACCAGAGGCTGGCTTGAGAAGGTTCCTGGGGGCTGGATCCGGGGCTCCCGGCCAGGACAGAGCACTTACCCTCTCTCCGTCTCCACAGGTCCCTTAGCCTGTGGTCTGTGATGCCTGGCACCAGCCCTCTGTGAGGGGCTCTGCTCTTTGCCCGGGGCCCTCGGGCTCCACTGGAGGATGTCCGTGCTGCCCCCAGCCCTCCGTCCGTTCATCCCCAGCCAGCGCCATTGGGCCCGTGGCCCAGCCCCTGCCCTGCACCATGAAGGATGAAGAGAGGCTACACAATAATGCTGTGGCCTGGCTGGCGTGCGCCGGGGTCTCCCTACTGACCAACGCATGGGGCATCCTGAGCGTCAGTGCCAAGCAGAAGAAATGGAAGCCGCTGGAGTTCCTGCTGTGCACGCTGGCCGGCACCCACATGCTCAACATTGCCATCCCCATCACGATGTACGCGGTGGTCCAACTCCGGCGTCAGCATTCTGACTACGAGTGGAATGAGGGGCTCTGCAAAGTGTTTGTGTCCACTTTCTACACCCTCACCCTGGTCACCTGCTTCTCAGTCACTTCTCTGTCCTACCATCGCATGTGGATGGTCCGATGGCCGGTCAACTACCGGTGAGTCTGGGTGTGGGGTGGGGTGCCTTGTGAAGGGGACGTGGGGCCATGGATTTAAGGTGGCAAGAGACCTCAGAGGCTGTCTACTCCAATCCTTTCATTTTACAGGTCAGGAAACTGAGGCCCCTGGAGATTAAGTGGCTCGTCCTAGGTTAGAGGTGGGCTGTGAACCCCGGCCTTCCTGGCACTCTAGTTCAGCACTGTTCCGTGTCATCTCTCTCCATATAGAATCATAGATTGTTAGAACTAGAAGGATCCTTTTCCCCATCTGGCATCTTACAGAAGAGGATACTGAGGCACAGAGATGGGGAGTGACTTAATCCAATGTCAGGCAGCTCATTACTGACAGATTCAGGACAAAAGCCCAGGGAAGGCTCCTGACTTCCATGTAGGTGTATGCACACGTGTAGGGGTGAGTGGGGGAGTATGCAGTACCCAGCAGGCCTTGGAGAATTGAAGGATCATAGCATCCCAGATGTAGGGCTGGGAGAGACCTCCGAGGCCGTCTGGTACGACCCACTCATTTTACAGATGAGGAAACTGAGGCTCTGGAGGCTAAGGGATTTGCCCAAGGTCACAGGGGTAGGCAGCTAAGGTGGGATTTGAACTCAGGTCCCCCAGCTCCAGAGCCCATGCTTTGTCCACAATATGCATCTCTCTCAGTTGCATAGACGGGGATTGTAGATGTGGAAATAGGCCATCAGACAGAGCTGGTTTTACTGATTGCTGTTTTTTCTCCTTTTTTCAAATCTTTGTCCAGGAGAGGGCTCACTAGAAGGTGGGGAAGGGAGGTCACTGGTCTGAAGGGAGGGAAATACATATGGGAAATTAATGTTTGGCAAACAAAAGACATGAGTTAAAAAAAAAAACAACTTTATAGGATTCAAGTCTCCCCACAATGTATGTGCACCTCTGGACAAATCACTTCCTCCGAGACGCCTTGTCTACAAAACGATAATGATATTTGAACTACCTATCACGAATCATGAGTATTGGAAAGAAAGTGATTTGTAGACTAGAAAACAATCTATCCTTATGATATGTTAGACTTGGAGTCAGGAAGACCTGAGTTCAAATCCAGCCTCAGATGCTTACTAGCTGTGTGATCTTGGGCACGTCACTTTATGTCTGTTTGCCTCATTTTTCTCATCTGTAAAATAGGGATAATAATAGCACCTACCTCCCAAGGTCGTTGTGAGAATAAAGTGAGATAACATGTATAAAATGTTATGTAAATGTTAAAATGGTATATATGCTATTATTATTATTGTTATTGTTGTTATTATTATTATTATTATTATCATTACCACCTCAAAATGAGACTAAATTGCAGATACTTTGGACACTCCCTCTCTCCCCTGTGGAGTCTGGATCCTTTATACAATGAGGGCCTCACACAATGAGTGACTCAGGGCTGGGTGGAGGACTGAAGCTTTCTTAATGAGGCCCCATGGTATTAGCTCCAGGCCTAGGAAGAAATCAGAGGATCTGTTAGGGCGGGGGAGAGGAGGCAGGGGGATGGTAAAGAGGATGTTGCATGCATTCCCCTTCTATTCCCCAGACTGACCACATGCTGGTCATGAGGCTAGTTAGAGAGAGGTGCAGTTTCAGACTATTGAAAACAGACATGGCTAAGTTAGGATCTAGGCTAGGTTGGTACCAAGGACACTGGACTCCAAAGAGCTTAAAAACTAGCAGAAAAACCACAGTAGTGGAGTTTAAGAATTCAGATTCTGCCTTATTAGCTCTGTGACCCTAGACAAGCCATTTAACCATGCCTCAGTTTCTCCAGTTGTAAAATATGGGATTTCAGAGGGGAAGATTGGAGGGACGTTAGACTCACTGACCTCAAAGGTCCCTTAGAGACCTAAATTGATGACCCTATGAACAGTTGCAAAAGCCAGGGGACAAGATAGAGTTTGTCTGTCTCAACCTGTCTGCCTCAGTCTTTGATTTCGACAACTTAAATTCCCCCCACCCAATCCATTTAAATCCAACACTCTGGAGATATAGACAAAACAAGACACTGCTGTCCTGTGCTGATTTCTTGGCTTCTGGAGCCAGCCCCCCATGCCCACTCCTGACTCAGCCCCACCATTAAGGCCCAGGCCCTGGGTGAAAGTGGAGACTTCCCAGGCCTCTTTAGGCATCTGACCTATCCCCCCCAAGTCAGGGCTGTGAGGAGGAGGCCCCAGCTTAGTCACAGATCACAGGGGATCCTGATGAGGCCCAAGGGGTCCTGAAGTCCCTACGCAGAACAGTGAAATGGATCGCCATCCCAGCTGGGTGCCACCCTCTAGCCCGCCGGGCTGTGGTCCCCAAGCCGCCAGGGAGCAGCTGGGGCTGCTAGATTGTCTGTCTTCTGAATACAAATAAAGAGGCTTGTGCTGAGGGGCAGAGAGACCTGTTCTGGTGGAGGTCCTTGGCCATACCCCACTTTCCTCCTTAAACTCACGCCCCCTTTACTGGGCACAGCTTAAGAGAACAACAGATCTTCACGGGGATGGTTTCTGCCCTTAACCTAATGGCTTCAGCCCTTTAACTGATGGCCATCATCTTCATTAGATACTCTTGGCACATTCTCAAAAAAAAAGTTTAAATATAACCTAGTGATAAGTTGTTCTTGTGTTTACTCTTACCCCCAGAACTAATTTGAGAGGCTCTTAATCCTTTTATTCTGTGCTAACCACCGCTAATGAAGAGAGTTAAGTTAACAAACCAGGCCCAGTTGACTAATTTACTGATGGGTGGTGAACATTAGCTGTATACGATGAGAGCTCTGACCTACATAGGGAAACATCTGCACTGTCTGGGAGCCAGTAACTGGTATCTGTGTGCCTGCCCCTTGCTAGCTCCATTGACAACCCTAGAAGGCAGAGAGGGACCCAGGCTCCCCCAGCCCAGCCCCAGGCAGGAGGTAGGGAGGGTGAGAGGGGCCACTCCTTCCCTCCTCTGGTTTTGAGGGGAGCAGGGGCCAACCTCTTGTTCCGTACTTTGATGAGACAGAAAAAAATCCATTTGAAACAGAGCCAGTCACTGTCAGAAGGCTGAAGGAGCTTGGGAGAATCTTTTGGAGCAGGAGATGTGACAAGGGAGCCTTCCTTTCAGACCTAGAGTGGGGTCAGAGGGAAAGGAAGGAGGGAGGTGGCTTCTTCTTGGGGTACTGGGCCTTTATCTTGCCGGGTGAGGAGACGGGCATCTCCCAGGTTCTGTCAAACAGAGGAGAGCGCAGACATTTTATCCCACTCCCAAGAAAGAAGAGGTTGGGTAGAGACCTAGCCACCTTTAATGCCAGGAATACTGTTCATGGTGAACAATGGGGCATCCAGATGAGAATAAGGCGGTGATTTGATGGAAAAGCTGTTGCAGCAGAGGACCTCAGTTCTCCTTCCAATGCTGCCATTGTATAAGCCTTGGGCAAGTTGTCCTCTCAGACACTTCATAGCTATATCACCACGGGCAAATCACTTTACCTCTGGGAGCCTCAGTTTCCTCATCTCTAAAATGGAGATAATGGTAGTCCTGCTTCCTATTTCACATGATTGGGAATAGTCAAATCTGTAAACATTAACCCCCTATATAAACGTGATCTACGTGATCTAGTTCCTGCGCTAATATTCTTTTTTATTTTTGTTCTCTAATAGTATTTTATTTTTTTCCAATTATATGTAAAGACAGTTTTTTAGCTTTCATTTTCACAAGATTTTGAGTTTCAGATTTTTCCCCCTCCCCTCTTCCGAAAATAGTAAGCAATTTGCTGTAGGTTATATATGCTGCACTAATATTCTTGAATCTCACCAGCGAGGTGCTGGTGTGGACATGGCTATGAATAAATTACAGAGGCCTGAGGTTCATTGACAGGACTCATTCAACTCCTCTCATTTTACAGAGGAGGAAACTGAGGCACAGGAAGATCGTGTGATCCATAGCTCTAGTCCTGGGACACTCTCCAAAGACATCTAGTCTGACCTCCTGATTTTACAGAAGAGGAAACTGAGGCAAAAAGAGGATCCTAGTATCATTGCTTTAGATCTGAAGCCATTGAGTTCATTCCCCTTTTTACAGAGAAAAAAACTGAGGCCTAGAGAGACTGTGACTTGCCCAAGGTCACACAGATAGTAAATAGCAGAAGCAAGATTTGAACCCAGGACCTCTAACTCCAGACCTCTTTCCACAGCACTTACAGCTTCTCAAGGATCAGAAAGGGACTGTGAATTTTAAAAAATTGTCTTAGATGTCCTCCGATGTTAGAGATTGAAGGGAGGACATTTTTAAACTCCACCCACTCTTGCGGCCTGGGGCTGAAGACTTAGGCCTGAGTGAAGGTGGGAAAGAGTCAGGGCTTGGGGACAGACTCCCTAGGGGCTGGGCGCGTCTGTCCCCTCTCCCCATTGCTCACTGGAGACCCGGTGAGTGAACAGCTGCACACTCTCCCTGGCAGGCTGAGCAACACCAAGAAGCAGGCAGTGCACACGGTGATGGGCATATGGATGGTGTCCTTCATCCTGTCCACCCTCCCTGCCGTGGGCTGGCACGACACCACCGAGCGCTTCTACGCCCACGACTGCCGCTTCATCGTCACCGAGATCGGGCTGGGCTTTGGGGTGTGTTTCCTGCTGCTCATCGGAGGCAGCGTGGCCATGGGGGTGGTCTGCACCGCCATCACCCTTTTCCAGACCCTCTCCCTCCAGACCGGCCACAATCTGGACCGTAACAAGTTCAACGTTCCGACCATCGTGGTGGAGGATGCTCAGGGCAAGCGCCGCTCTTCCATCGATGGCTCAGAGCCCATCAAGACCTCACTGCAGATCACGTACCTGGTGGCTGGCATCGTCTTCATCTATGATTGCCTTATGGGCGTCCCTGTGCTGGTGAGCTGGGGTCTGGAGGAAGGAGGGTGGGGCTGCCATCTCCATCCCTTTGAGATGTGGAGGCCGCTGGGGTGGTCCTTGGAACTATAGCTCTGAATCTTTACCCTCTAGGCCAGGGGTTCTTAGCCATTTGTTGATCATGACCCCCTTGGGCAGATTGGTAAAGCCAATTGGCCCCATCTCAGAAGCATGCATAGAACAAAATTCAGGGTGCCTCAAAAGTCTTATGAAATCTCAAGATTGCCCTGAGACTTTTGGGACACCTGGTAGATTGGTTTACAAAGGAAACCAATTATATTGAAATACAATTATCAAAATATTTTTAAAAGAAAACGGGCTTGTGGACAGTTAGTGACTTCACGGGTCCCTGCAGTATTAATAATAACTCACATTTATGAACCATGTTAAAGATCGTAGAATTTTAAAGTTAGAAAGGACCTTCAAAGTCATCTCATCCAACCCTTCATTTTATAGAGGAGGAAACAGGCCCAGAGAGGTTAAGTGACTTATGTGGGTCACACAGGCATCACAGATTTAGAGCTAAAAGGGACCTTATGGGCTATCTGATTGAACCCTCTCATTTTTAGATGAGGAAACTGAGTCCTAGGGAGGTTAAGTGACTTACCCAAGGTGGCAGATTTAGAAGGGGAAGGGAATTAGGGCTGGCACCAAATGACGTCTAAGATCCGTCCTGAGTCTGGGATGCTCTGGTCCTCCCCAGTGGCCAGAGGAAAGACTAGGTGCCTAGCAACCCAAGGGAGACAGAGCTAGGCATATGAAGGATCCCTGGAGAAAAAGGGAAGAGACTGAGTTGAGTTTTATTTTAAAGGTGTTGAGGAGAGCAGATTCCCAGAGAAAATGACACATTTAACATGACACAGCTCATCGCTAATGGTTCCAGTTGGAGATTCATCTCCAGTAAAGAGATGAAAAGCTCTTACCCATCAAGGGGAAGGGATGGGCCAACAGACCTCACTCTGATTCAGGAGACAGTGTCCCCTTCTCCCTTCCACTCCCTGGGCAAGGTCCAGGAATGAGCTGGCTCACAGCCTTGGGATAAAAGGAGCTGGGTCAGGGTACCATGGTGTGAAAAGCACATGACTGCAGAAGTTTGCCTCTGTCTGTCTGCCTTCTCCTAGGGCCTCAGTCAGTCTCTCTATCAGCCTGGCAGCCCAGTCCTGGCCTCTGACCCCTGCATTGACCGAGCAGCAGGGAAGTGTTGGAGTAGGTCTGGATGAGCTGATTTTAGCTCCTGTCATCTTGAGTTAATCAGTGGTAACAGCTCCAGGGAAAGTAAATTACGCACACACAAAAAGTGCAGAACTTAGGTTTGTAGTTATAAAGGGCCTCAGAAGCCATTTAGTCCAATCCCTTCATTTTACAGAAGATGAAACTGAGGCCTGGAGAGGTTAAGTGACTTGTGTGGGTCATGCAGGGCTAAAAGAGACCTGGTAGGCTATTTAGTTGGACCCCCTCATTTTTGTATCATGGCCCCCATGGGCAGTCTGATGAAGCCTATACCCCCCTTCCCAGAATAGGTTTTTAAAATGCCCAAAATAAAATACAGAGGATTACAGAGGAAACCAATGATATTGAAATATGGGTCTGAAAATACTGAGAAACTAAATTCAGCGGTCTACTGAAATCTATCAACAGGCCCACTGGGGATTCATAAATCCCTGGTTTTAGATTGGCCCTCCTAGCAGATCTTGACTTAAGGAACTAGGAAGGTCAAGTGGACTCAGTCCCCCACATCTTTTCCGTGTCATTTTTAGAAGGGGGGGATGAGTACAAGGGTCTGCTGCAGGGGCCCATCTGGAGACTGTCCGAAGTATTGAATTTAGGATAGAGCTCTCCCAATGACAGTGGTTCAGAATCCCTAGCCCTCTTCACGTCTGCTGTCAATCCCCTCTCAGCATAAGGTGCTGGGCTGGCTGATATACGGAGACAAACCCAATCCCTGCCATTGAAGAACTAGTCTGACCTTACATGGGACCTTCCAGTCTTTCTTATTAAAGTAGAATCTCCTTGAAAATAGGGATTCTTTCATTCTTTGTATTTGCGTCCTCAACACTTAGCACGGTGCCTGGTGTGTGTTGTTGATTCAGTCGCTCAGAGGTGTCCTGTTCTTTGTGACACAATTTACCGTAGCATGCCATGCACTTCCATCCTCTCCCGTCTCCCAAAGTCTGTCCAAGCTCATAACCTAACACAGAGTAGGTGCTAAATCAATGCTTGTTGACTTTTCAAATCCATGATAATCATATCCATTGTGACCTCCAGCGCTAAATCCAGTGTGAGCCTCAGTCTTAACCAGTGTAAGGTCAGAGAGCTAAGAAAGTCCCCAGCCCCACTGGGTTCTGATAGAACTAATATTAGAAATGGGCCTGAATGTCTGACACAGAACTGTACTAGTGGGCTAGAATGAGGCGAAGATGGGAAGCCAGGGAAGAAGAAGGACCCTGGGAGGAAAGCATATAGGGAGGCAGGAAAAAAAAGAATCAGAGCTTTTAAAAATTTAAGTTTATAGGTTTTAAGAAGTAGGACCCATCTTTTGTTATAAGGGATGTCTCTCTGGGAAGAAAGAGGGAAGGAAAGAAGCATTTATTAAGCAGGCACTGTGCTAAACATTTTACAAATATTATCACATTTAATTCTCACAAAACTCCTGGGAGGTAGGTACTGTTATTATCCCCATTTTATAGTTGAAGAAACTGAGGCAAACAGAGGTGAAGTGATTTGTGCAGGGTCATACAGCTAGTAAATATCTGAGGCTGGATTTGAACTCAGGTTTTCCTGACTCTACCCACTGGGCAGTCTAACTGCCTCTAAAGGAAGGAAAAGGAAGAGGGATACAGGGGGAAATCTAGATGATGTAAAAATAAAAGATACCAATAAGTTTTTATTTTAAAAAAGATAAAGACCTCTGGCAGTCAGAATTTGGCCAACTGATAGCTGTGGGTCAGTGACTGGGGGAGATAATGTGTTTAGGAGAAAGCATAGAGCTGGGAATTCTAGTCCTAGCTCTGCCATGAAGCTGCCTATGTGTTCCTGAGCAAAGGTCACCTGTCTGGGTCTTGGTTTCCCCATGGATGAAATGAGGCTAATGCAGCCTGGTGCTCAGAGTTGTTGTGAGATAATGGATATAGTTTGAAAAAGGTCAGGCACTGACCTCAGAAACTCCACAGAATCTGCTCATTTGTATGGGTATTCCTTCTACCAATGCAGATCACTGCCCATCCAAACCTTGCCCATCTTGTGAGATTCTTGATCCATGTCCTCCCATAGATTTCCTGTAGGATCCTTCCCCACGCAAACATACCAGGACCTTCTTTGCTTTCTCTTGATATCACAAGGGCACCATGGGCATCCATCAGTTCCAATGTCACTTTCTCTGTGATCAGGCCATCTTCTTTTCCATCATGTGTTTCTTTGATGCCATCCATCATGCTGGTTTCCCTTCATGAGTCCTTATTCATCTGTTGTAGACTGCCTCCATTCATTAATCAATCAGTCAATTTATAAGCATTTATTAAACACCTCCCACATGCTAGCCACTGTGCAAGGCACAGGGGATCTAAAGAAAAAACAAAGGTAGTTTCTGCCCTCGAGGGGCTTACATTCTAATAAATGAGACAACATGTAAATACACAGGTCCATACCAGTTACCTACTGAGTAGTCAACCAATCCACAAGGGTTTATGAGGTGCCTACTTTGTGCCAGGCACGAGGGATAAAAACACAAAGAATGAAATACCCTCCCACTCTGAGGAGCTTCCATGCTCTTGGGGGAAGGAGTCCTCATAAAGAATAAATATAATCAAAAGGAAAACAAGGAGGTTGGGGCAGCTAGGTGATGCAGTGGATAGAATGCTGGGTCTGGAGTCAGGAAGATTCAAATGCAGCTTCAGACACTTACTAGTTGTGTGACCCTGGACAAGTTACTTAACCCTGTTTGCCTCAGTTTCCTCATCTGTAAAATGAGCTGGAGAAGGAAATGGCAAACTGCTCTAGTATTTCTGCCAAGAAAACCCCAAATGGAGTCACGGAGACTCAGACATGACTGAAACGACTCAACAGCAACACAAGAAAGTTATAAAAGGTAGTCAGGAAGAGAGGCCTTATCAGGTGAAGTCCATTCCAAGCATAGGGAGTGCACTATATTCCATTGCAAAGGAATGGAGGTGGAAGACAGAGCGCCATGTTGGTAGAAAGTTGATTGTCGTGCATCATTCTCGAAGAGAACCAAAATGAAGTCATAAGGCGTAGTGTGTCCAACTGGCTGATCGGATCACTATGAGCTTGGAAGGCTCTACTGCAGGTTGGGCACAAATAGTCCATATGAACATTTGGAGTGGAGATGGCTCTGAATTTGCACATCTCGAATTTCTTTGGAGTGGTAGAAAGTAGTCATAGAAGGAGAGGCTCAAGTATCTGGTGGGGAGGACCAGGAAAGGCCTCCTGCAGAAGGCAGATCTTGGGCTGAGTCTTGAAGAAAGCCAGAATTTCTAAGAGGTGGAGGTGAAAAAGGGTAGACCGTTCCAGGTACAGAGGAGGCGGCCCATGCCAAGGCATGGAGAAGGGGGAGAGCGTCTCCATGCATCCACCACACGCCTCTCCATTGCTCTCGAGGCAATAATCACTTTGTGTTCTTGGGAAATCGTGACATTCTATGACTCAGAGACATAAAGCCAGATGGGTAGAGTATTGGCATTAGAAAGATGGACCATTGTTTCATACCGTGAAGTTTGGGGTCAGGAAAAGAACTTTGCAGATTCCCAAAGGCAATCCATCTGGATACTGTTAGCATTTGAGTGCCCGGCTGACTGATGGGGAAAAGGAAGCAAGCTTTCTGTCTGCCTTGGACCCAGGGATTGATGTGGCCTCCCCTGCTTTTCACCCTTCTCCCTCCCAATGGGGGACTCTCTCTTGAGAAATCAGGCCCCGCATCAAGTCGACTACGGAGAGTCATTCTTTGTTCTAGTCAGCAGAAAAGCAACCCAGGCTCCCCTTGTCTATAGGCAGGGCTTACCCTGTGCACAGTCAAGATACCTAGCTCCCAAAAGCTCCAAGAAATGGGGAGCAAAAAAAATAATAATAATAATAAAAATTAAAAAAACAAAAATAAAAAAACAAAGAAATGGGGAGCAGCCACTACTGGGATCCACCAGCCTCTGGGACCCTGGGCCAGCTTTGTTCCTAGGGGCTCCCCAGTGCAAATGTCACGTATGCCTCTGAATGATCAGTAAATCAATGGCCGAATGTTCATTCAGGCCCGGTTTATTCATGTACTCAGCCCAGTTCTCTTGGCTATACATCAAGTGATACACATGAATAATTAGAAAAATTTAAATGACAATAGAAGCTTAATGAGAGATTTGGTTATTGTTGTTATGTCTAACTCTTCCTGACCCCATCTGAGGTTTTCTTGGCAAAGATACTGGAGTGGTTTGCCATTTCCTTCTGCAGTTCATTTTACAGATGAAGAAACTGAGGCAAACAGAGTAACGTGACATACCCAGAGTCACACAGCTAGTAAGTGTCTGCAGCTGGATTTGAACTCAAGAAGATGAGTCTTCCCGATTCTAGGCCTGACACTCTGTGCGCTGTGGCGCCACCGAGCTTCCTGTTATGAGAGATAGGCACATAGATTTAGAAGAGACCTTAGAATTCATTGAGTCAAGCCCCTCATTTTACAGAGGAGGCAGCTGAAGCCCAGAGAATGGAAATGATTTGCCCAAGGTCACACAGGTAGATAGTAGAAGAGCTGGGATTTGAACCCAGGTCCTTAAACTCAAAAACCAGCACTCTTTCTGCTGAAGCATGATGCCTCTGACCTATGGGTACTTGTGATTAGCCTCTAAATGAATCTTACAGTTAAGTGGAATGAATGGGAAAGAAGCCTTATGTAGAGAAAATAGCGCAAGATTTGGAGTCAGAAGGCCTGGGTTCAAATTTCAGCTCTGTGCAAGGTCTTAGTTTCCATCTTGTCTCCCTCACTAGACTGGGAGCTCCTTGAGGGCAGAGACTGTCTTTTTATCTTTCTTTATATCCCCAGTGTTTAGTATAGTGCCAGGCACATAGTAGGTGCTTAATAAGTGCTTGTTGATTGACTGACTCCTCTCTAAAATGAGGGATTGGAGCAGATCCCTCTAGCTAAGACTCTTCTAGCTCTAAAATTCAGTTATTTTGCTCACAAGGCAGCTGCAGGGAACCCCAGGCCCAGGTTCTTTGCTGAAAGAGAGGAGACCTAGACCATAGAGTCTATTAACGACCTAATGGCCCCTTCGGGTAATATCCCAAGGGTATCGAGAAGAGAGGAGCTTGGTTCTGCCTCTTAAAACTTAGGTGTGACCTTGGGCAGATCACTGAACATCTCTGTCATGGGATATGTCAATATCAGTATCATCAATCATCTAAGCATTAGTGTCTTCATCTCTAAAATGAAAGGGATGGGACCAGATGATCTCTAAGGACTCTTGAAGCCCTCAATCCCATAATTCTAGAAGGAATACAGAAGTTTGCTTGGGGAGAGTTCACCGTGGGCTTGTACCCCTTATGTTACCTTTTTCCCAAAGATCTCAAAGCACAGTCACTTCTGTGGTCTCATCTTGGGTAGGGAAGAAGGGAAAGTGGACAAGCTTTGTTAAGCACCTACTGTGTGCCATGCACTATGTGAAGTGTTTTATGAATATTATCTCATTTGATAGAAAAGGACAAGAATTATCATCCCCTTCCCCCTTTCTTTTTTTCTTTTTTTAATGAGGAGCAGCTAGGTGGTTCAGTGGATAGAATGCCAGGCCTGGAGTCAGGAAGTCTGGAGTTAAAAACTGGCCTCAGATATTTGTGACCCTGAACAAGTCACTTAACTCTGTTTACCTTAGTTTCTTTATCTGTAAAATGAACTGGAGAAAGATACTCCAGGGTCTTTGCCAAGAAAATCCCAAATGAGGTCATAAAAGAGTTGGATACGACTGAAAAATGACTCAACTCGAGTTTTTTTAGATGGGAAAATGGGCCCAGAGCATTCAAAAGACTTGTCTGGCATCACACAGTGAAGTGAGGCTCAAAGACTCAAATCCTGGTCTCTGAACTGAGCTCCTTTGCGGAACTCTGGGGATGAGGGAAGAGAGCAGCCAACAAGTATTGATTAAACAACTACTGTATACCAACCAGTGTGTTAGGCGCTGGTCAATAAACATTAATTAAGCACCTCCTGTGTGCCAGCCACTGGGCTAAGTGCTGGGAATACAAAGAAAAGTAAAAGACAGCCCCTGCCCTTGAGGAGCTTACAGTCAAACGAAGGAGACAACATGCAAAGAACTGTGGACAAGCAAGCTATAGATGGAATATTTTGTATAGGCATTGGAAATCTGAAGACAAAGATAAAATATACCCTGCTCTTCAAGAGCTTCCATTCTATTGTGGATTTATACACATAAAAGTAAATATGAAATAAATTTAGGGTGCCTGGGGATCTCCAGAGGGGAAATATAAAAAAGTTGTATGTGTATGTGTGTTTATATATATATATATATGTATCTATTTACATATATATGTATGAAATGTGCAAAAAATTTGTCTATTTTTTGAAATGCACAAAAAGTATTTTGTTTATTTTTGAAATGAATGAAAAAAGATCTACTTTTTTTGAAATATACAAAAGTATATATTGAAATGTATGAAATATTTTTATATATTTTTAAGTATACAAAAATATTTTGTATATTTTTGAAATATTAAAAATATGTTATCTGTTTTTTAATATATGAAAAATATGTTGCCTATTTTTTAAATACATGAAAAATATTTTATCCATTTTTGAAGTGTATGAAAAAATATTTTGAATATTTTTGGAATATATGAACAATGTTTTGTCAATTTTTAAAAATATACCAGAAAATCCTCACACACACCCCCACCCCATCCCACTTCAGAAAAGATGCTATTTTCTCATTTGTTTGGAGTGCTAGCAGCCTCAGGATCAGCAAAGTCCTGGTGGAGAAGGTGGTACCAGATTGCATTTCGAAGGGAGCTGAGGTTCTAAGGGGCAGAAGAGGGGAGGGAGGGAAGGCCTCTGAGCTGTGCAGACATGGAGGCTAGAGATGGGACTTCGTGTGTAAGAAACAGTATGCAGGCCATTTTGGCGCGATTGAAGATCGTGTACAGTAAAGCCTAGAAAGGCGGGTTGGAGCCCCAATGTGAAAAGAGGAGTTTGTATATTTTTTTCCCTAGAGGCAGTTGGGAGCCACTCGAGTTTCTTGAGCAGAGCAGTGACCCCCTCAGAACTGTGCTTTTGCAATATCTCTTTGGTGGTTCTGCAGGCCAGGCCACTGAAGGTTTCTCTTGTGTCATCACACAGGTGGTGAGCTTCACCAGCCTCAAGTCGGACACCTCCTACACCTGGATGGCTCTGTGCATGCTCTGGTGCTCAGTGGTGCAGTCCCTCCTGCTGCCCCTCTTCCTGTGGGCCTGTGACCGCTATCGGGCTGACATCAAGGCTGTCTGGGAAAAGTGTGTGGCGCTCATGTCCAATGACGAAACAGATGAGGGTGAGTGCTGGGGCTCCAGGGAGTCTGGGAGACTGGGGTCAGCAGGGGGCCCTGGGAGTCATGCAGGGGGATCAGAGGTCACAGAACCAGAGCTGGAAGGGACTGCAGAGGCTGTCTCAGTCATTTTACAGATGGGGAAACTGAGGCCCAGAGAGAAGTGACTTGGAATCCTGCATCCAGGGCTAGAAAAGACCTCAGAAGCTGTCTAAGCCAACTCCTGCATTTAACATGTAGGGAAACTGAGGCAGCTTGGGGAGATTAGGTGACTTGCCCAAGGTCACACAGATCACAGGTGTCAGGTAGGATTTGAACCCAGGCCCTCCGAGTCTAGCACCACTGCCTTTTCCATCAGATCTCCCTACTCCTAGTAAATCACCTCCAAACGGTCCCAGAATCCCTCCAACTCAAGGACGTTGAGCAGAAATGTCTCCCCCTCCACAATTTCACCCCCACTAGAAGTTCGCGAATGACTGGATGACCACTGACTGGGGCTGCTGTAGAGGAGACTCCTGGGTAGGTATATGGTGGATGAAATAGCCACAGATTCTTTGTGTAATAATCAGCCTCAAACACCCTCCAGGCTTCCCTTGGATGACCAGAGGGAGCCTTTCATTGGCCAGGTCTTTTTAGGTCCTCAGTCAATTTGATGAAAACATTCATTTGGGTACCCTTCCACCCCACCCCGCACTAGCTCCCTGTTACTGAGCTCAGTCAGGGAATGGGATTCTGGTTAATGAAATCTTCTGGTCAATGGAGGGTTCCCATGGCGACCAAACACAGCTCACCAATTCTAACCTAGATTTTCAGATCCACGCAATGCTGGAAGAGTGCCTTCATAATCTAGCCCCTATCTGATGATTCAGAAGGTGCTCTTAAGCCTTAAGTTAAATGCACTGGTTTATTGGAGCATTCTGCTCTTAGAAGAAAGGCATTCATTCAGCAAACATTCCCTCAGGCAATATTTATCGAGTCTTACTTTGTGCTAAGCACTGGAGATACAGAAACAAAAATTAAATATCCCTTGCCCTCAAGAGGCTTACATTCTGTTGAAGGGAAGCAACAGCATGAATAAATAAATACAAATTGTGAACCAAATAAATACTGAGTAATGGGGGAGGGAGGTAGCTGGGGGGAATCAGAAAAGGTCTCGCATAGATTCCCCCTTGTCAGAATTATGTTTTAAATGTACAAAATAAAATACAGAGGATTACAAAGGAAACCAATGATATTGACATACAGGTCTCAAAATCAGGAAAAACCAAATTCAGTGGTCCACTGAAGTCTTGTCACCTGACCTGAGCACCTACTGTGTGCCAGGCACTGTCCTAGGAATGCAAAGATAGAAATTAATAATAATAACTAGGGTTTTTTTATAGGTCTCTAAGATTTGCAAGGTGCTTTGCCTGTTATTTCATTTGACCCTCCTAAAACCCCTGGGAGGTAGATGACATTATTATCCCCATTTTTCAAATGAGGAGGCAAACATAGGTTAAGTGACGTGTTCAGGGTCACATAGCTAGTAGGTGTCTGAGGCAGGATTTGAACTCAGGTCTTCCTGACCCCAAGTTCCCAACTTTATGCACTGTATCACCTAGCTGCCTAAATGATGCTATACCTGCCCTCCTGTAGCTTGCATTCTACTGGGCTCAGCCAGGGAAATGCCTTACTTTGCCTTCAATTCTCCTTACACTAATTCTTCTAAGCTCCCAGGGCTCACTCTTCCCAGTCCTGGTAGTGATCCCTGGGGTTTCTTTCTGCCTCCTTTCCGTGACAGGATCCCAGCTCCCCACTCTCCATTCCCACGTAAATCTAGCACTTATATCTTGTGCCTCTACAGACCGAGGAGGTCTCTCGAGTTGAGTCAGTCCACCGTTCCTATGGTAAAAGGCCCTTCCTAGTTTGGGGAACGGGGGCGGCCAGGTATGACTTTCCAGAACCCCAGGGTCATCCTCTGTCTGTAAGGTCTCTGGCTCAGCTCTTAGCCTCTGCCTCTCGCAGAGACCAGCCTGGATGGCGGCCTCCACACGGACCTGATGTATGAGCGGCCCTTTGACTACAGCTGCAGGGGTGACTTCCTTGCCCTGGACCACATTGCCAAGTATGACTTCTCTGCCTTGGAAAGGGGGATCCCTCAGCTGTATCCTCTGCAGCCCATCCAGGAGGACAAGATGCAGTATCTTCAGGTAACAGGAGTGGGGGAAGGAAGAAAGGAAGGAAGGAAAGAAGAAGAGGGAGGAAGGAAGGAAGGAAAGAAGGGAGGGAGGGAGGGAGGAAGGGGCTTACACTGCTCATTGAGGCCTGGACTGCTGGAACCGCTGTCCCCCAGGGACTATCTCCCATCTCTGAACACTATGCCCTTCTCCAAAGTTATTTCCATACGCATTTCATGTTCCAGGAAGACAGGTAACATCCTTCCCTAGAATTGGAAACAGGCTCAGAGACCCTGTATATTCTCTCATGTCACACAGCACTAGAATCCTGGTCTTCGTCTCCCCATCTTAGCTAATTCTATTTCCCCCTAGATCAGGCAGTCTTAACCTGGGGTCCATGAATCTGGTTGTTTAAAAAAAACATATTTTGATAACTATTTCAGTTTAATAGATTTCCTTTGTAATCCTATGTATTTTATTTTATGCATTTAAAAACATGATTCCAAGAAGGGGTCATCCAAAAGTCACACCAGAATGCCAAAGGGGCTCCTGGTACAAGGGAGTAATTGTTTTTGTAGCACCTACTATGTGCTGAGCTCTATGCTAAGTTCTTTTTCTTTTATGTTATCTCATTTGATTCTCACAGCCACCCTGTGAAGTAGGTACTATTATTATCCACATATTACAGTTGAGAAAATTGAGGCCCGTAGGTTAAGTGACTTGTCCATGGTCATACAATTATTAAGAGTCTGAGGCTGAATTTGAACTCAGGTCTTTCTGACTCCTGGCCCAGTGCTATCCATTGCACCACTGGCTGCCTGTAAAAAAAAAAAAAAAAGGTTAAGAACTTCTACGATAGATGGATGGATAGGTAGATGGGTGGATGGATGGATTATAGGTAGAGATAGATGGATGGATAAGGGAGATATCAATAGATATGAATGGATAGATTAGATAGAGAGATGGATGAATGGATGGATAGATGAATAGATGGATTAGAGAGAGAGATGGATTAGAGAGATATCAATAGAAATGGATAGATTAGATAGAGAGATGGATGAATGGATGGATGGATGAATAGATGGATTAGAGAGAGATGGATTAGAGAGATATCAATAGAAATGACTGGATAGATTAGATAGAGAGATGGATGAATGGATGGATGGATGAAGAGATGGATTAGAGAGAGATGGATTAGAGAGATATCAATAGAAATGGATGGATAGATTAGATAGAGAGATGGATGAATGGATAGATGGATGAATAGATGGATTAGAGAGA